CCTTAAAACAGTCTCCCTTAAAATTGGAGAAAGAAAGAAAATTTTCAAATTTTAAGTCTGAGAGTTTCATTTCCAACTATCTAGAGGTGCCATAATTGTAAATTTTCTTATTTTAGCCCCAACCATGGTGGAGTTGAGGTGGTATAGACCCTTCATGTGTCCTGGGCCCCTCTATTTCAAATTCCTGGATACGCCACTGCATTATTTCATCTCGGTTTACTTTTATGTCATATACAGTAATTAGTTTTCATGTGTTCTGACATTGATTATCATTTTGTAGGTGACGGTTTTGTGCCTTCTGGACAAACACCACTACATTACTGTCTACGTGCTCAGGGTACTTACAATGAACAGCGAGAAACGGCATTGTGCTTGATAACATATGGTGCCTCAGTCTACCATAAAGATAGTGTAATGTATAGAAATTAGAAATGATTCAGAAGGATTAGACAATGTCTTTATTACAATAATACAAACATTCATAATAACCAAAACCAACCTAATATATAAGAGCATTGATTCCATTCTATACGAATGAATTCCATCACTTATTCTTGTACCAATATATGATATAAATATTGTGATACTGATAGTGTCGGTTATTCCTTTGAATTATTATTTTCATCATTATCATTTATAAATCTTCAAAGCTAAAATATTTCCCTTTGTTGTGCTGATGTAGTTTGCAGCCGCCATCCAGTGAAATATACTATAATTTTTTGTATGATCTTGTTATTACAGAGAGGGAATACACCTCTTCATTATTATGATCGTAATAAATGTAGTAAATACGAAGTATCAACAAAGGAGGAAAAGAAAGATGAACTTAAAAAATTGCTTATAGGTAAGTTATCTGTTGTACGTTAAATATTCCTGAACCTATTGGCAAAAATTACAGAGCTTGCTTTATTTGGAAGAACCATGTCATAAGCCTCAGATATAAAGCTTTCTAGACATGGCTATACCTTAAGTACTAATAGCTGGTTGGGTGCCACGTTTGTGGATGTCTTGTGGGTCCTAACTCCATCCCCTTTTTTAGGATGCCTTTTTGAAGTGGAAGGAATAAGGTAAATATTTAATTAGTCAATCATATCAATTTTATTGTAAATTTAAATTAATTTTAACCAAGTATTGCATAAGATGAAAATGAAACATACCTGTAAATAAACAATATATATTTTTAATATTCATGGAAAGCTCAATATTTTAAACTGTATTTTACTATGATTTTTATGCTTGAAATCCAGCAATGGCACAACAGCGTATCTTAAATATTCCAAAACAGTTGTATGACAGTAATCGCTCCTGCAAGATGCTGGAAATACCACCTTGTACTTCTAGAGAAAAAAGATTGCTGATGTTTTGGACTCAGCCCCTGCCCCCTTGTTTATATCTCTGGATCTCCCATGTATATCCTATTGCAAGTGTACACTGCCCACAAAACTTGTCACTGAAAGAAATAGTAAAAACAAAGTTACACATATTACATGCACTCAATGGATGTGATCCATGCATAGAGGGCCGCTTTTCTGCATGGATGTGCTATACAAGTCCAACTATTATAATTTATTTTTACAGCATTACGGTTATTTCAGTAGTCTGGCTGTAGCATAGAGCTAGTGGAAACATTGATGAAATTATCTGCATTCTTCACAACAACGATGAATCAAAAGTTAAAAAAATAGAAAAATAAAGTAAACAAAAATTTTTTAAAAATCAACTTCACTTTTGAAAATTTGAGGCAAAAAATACTACAAAATTAAAAACGTTAATGTACAATGTAAGTAAAAAATTATCAATCATTGTTATCTGGAGGTCGTGTCAAAGGGAAAAAATCAATCCTGTGATATGCATAAGAATACTATACATTTGTACTCATATATTTCAGTTCCTGTATTATTCTTATAGCTTTTTATTTTAATGTTATTTTCTGTTTGACCTGTTTATGCTCTAGAAGTAGTTAAATCTCTCAGTGTTTCAACACCTTGATATAAAATTACATATTTTGATGTGTTATTTTCAGAAATCAGTTTTTACTGTGATGGTAATTTTTTTCAACAAAATACTCACAGTATGTTTAATGTAAACTTTAAAATGGATGGAAGAAATACGTAGCATAAGAATATTACTGTAGTATACTAAATAATATTTGTTATATTTTATATCCATAAGAGCTATCAGTTCCAGGAGAAATATTAGCGAGAGGTCCTGAAGCCATTAAAGCATTCGCATATGAAGTCCAGAATGGGGAAATTACGATGGTTAATTCCAGAGTCATGTTCCTTGGGAAAGAAGGGGTGGGCAAAACTAGTTGTGTCCGTTCCATGCTTGGCAAAGTGTAAGTACAAAATAAGGCCTTGTTTTTTAGGTAATTGTACAGTCTTTTGGCTTGCATTATTACAACATTCTTAGGTTCATTACTCCTTCTAGGCGACTGACTATCCAGGATCTCTTTGCAATTGTTTAAAGAATTTTAAAACGGCATTTCTGCCCATTGGCTCTTGATATAGCTGTAATTTTAAAAGGGTCTAATTTTCTACATAGTATGCATTAAATACAGTATTACACCACACACAACACATCACTACAGCACAGTACATATGACACCATTTTGTTACTGAGTGCCTCCAGAGCTTGTTGCACCTTATTATGCCTATTTCAACTGTTATTCAAAAACTAATTTAATGTTCTATATAAAACTAATGTAAGGATGAAAACATGGCATATACAGTATTAATTATCCTATGTGCATTTGATTGTGAATGTAGGCTTACAATGGGAAACTAAGGCTATATTGTAAAGTTTTGATAGTTTAACATGCTATGTACACTAATGTCATAAAATACTTCAATTTATTTTATTATTATATTTATCTAAATGTGAATAGATTTTACAGCAATGAACCATCAACAGATGGTATTGTAACAACAACAGTATTTCAAACGGTTGATGGAGATTGCAGCGAATGGAAGGAACAGAAGGATGTGGATGGTATGAATATTATACTTCCTTAAAATATCAATAATTTAATTTACAATTTAACTGTCTAAATATTATACATTTTTATTTGTTTAAGTTTATTTTGATAACCACTTTTTTGCAAATAGAAGGAACAGAAGGATGTGGATTTTATGAATATTCTACTTTTAATACAAATAATTTAATTGACAATTTGTTATTTTGATATAAAATTATTTAATTTTTTTTTAAAACCTTTCAATATTGTACAGTTTGTGAACTAACGAAGCAGATACGTGAGCACGCCATCGCAGAAAATCTCGCCAAAAAGCCAACAAAACACAACTAATTCTGCATCATCTAGTTCTACAGCCGCTTCATTGGTAAATTTGTATTTATAATAATTGCAAATATTACTTTTAATTAATTTAGTTGATGTTCTTTTAAATTTTTAATATGTATTTTTTGTTAGCTCGCTCCCTTATAAGAAAAACATTACCTGAACAACTGGTTTAAATTTCTGCATAAATTTGAACATTTTTGAATATTTAATACAGAAGCCCTCAGAAGCAACTAGAAGTGCAAGCTATACCAGGAAACTCCCAGAAGGAATTCGTGAGAAACTTGTTGCTAAACTTGCTGTACCTGGCATTTTCCATCCTCCTACCCTATTTGGCCAACCACGTCAAAGAGCCAGATTTGGTTTACCACTTCGAACAGCAGATGTACGTAGCAAAAATCCTAATCAACAACACAAGGAGAGTTTTATACCAAGTGATGTCACATGCATTTGGGACTATGCCGGTCAACTGACCTATTATATATCTCACAGGGTGAGTAATAAATTCTACTGAAAGCTACATTTCAAAATTATTGTAGGTTTTCTTTTGATTTGACATGTGGCTCTGGTGAGTTGCTGAATAGTGGCCATCAGGGGCGGATCCAGACTTGTTCAAATGAGGGGGTTGGTGGGAGGAGGCACAACATATTCAGAATAGATGCGAGTCGAACTAATTTCAATATATGCATTGAAATTTTAAAATTTAGTGGAAAAATGGGGGGGATGTTCCCCATGCCTCCTTCTGGATCCGCCCCAGCCCATTTTCCTTGCTTATAATCCTTTAAAAGCACCATTAACTCCAAACCTTATATGAGAATTAGTTTGATCATCACAATATTTAATTGACTGGGAGGTCACCACATATATCCCTACTTCTCAACCTTTTTCTGGGTGCGATCCATTAAAATCTATGCTAGTATCATTTGATATCTATGCTATAACAGTTCTCCCCTAATTATTCTGGTATTAAAGACATTTGCAGTCCACTGCTGTTTTTTAGTCAACCGCCGCTAACAAAGTGCTTGTGACAATTGTTCAGTTTCTACCAAGCACAGTCCATGAGGCATATTGTCATTGGTCATGTGCAGAATGTTCCATTTTATAGTAGGAATATTTTTTGGGACACTCATTATTTGAAATGTTTAAAATTTAAATAAAACAATATTATAATGATATTAATGATAGACTGAAGCTTGTGTGTGCACCCACCCCCACACAAAAATGTGCGCACGTCAAGTGTATCTCTTAATTATTGAGTCCCTTGTAGGATTGGTGGTACTGTATGTTGAAGTACAGTATTTGACACAATTATATTTTAAAAGCTTTATGAAAGTCTGCCTTTTTTTCTCGGGGCAGTTTTGTAACCATCAGATATGTTTTGGCGACCCGACCCATACGTTGAGAAGCAGGCCTCTATATGACTCAAATAAAACATTAACCATTAAATTTTATGCTTGTTAGAGTACCTGTATATAGTAGTTATTTAAATATCACTTGTTAAGTGACTTAAAACAGTAATAAAATCATTTTTTTCAGTGGTCAGTTTTAACATTGATGATTTAAATATTTTTAGGTTTTAAATTTTGTCTTTCCAGTTTTTCTTGACAGATGGCTCATCCTACTCTGTTGTGTTTAGTGTGTTAGATGATTTGGATGCTCTAGCAAACCCAAGAGATATCTTACAAGTAAATACACCACTTAGTCTTCACTGCAGATGTTTAAACTTAATTAGTTTTATTGCATCAATTAATCTCATACCATTTTGAAAATTACTATTGCTTACCTTTTTAGGGACAATTTGAAATGACAAATCTTCAGATGAATGTATTTTGGATACGGTCAATATACGAACATGCTGTACTACCCTATCGTGGAAGGACTCGGAAGTTGATCAGTGGCATATCATCACCCACGATTAGTTTAGTTGCCACACATAAAGACAAACTATTGGGGACTGAGTCAGAAAAGGACAAGTTGGTGAGGCATTGTCTGTTTCATAATGGAATTATAGTATTTGTTTTTTTAATTCTTCAATAAATTTACTTATGTATTTTCAATTTTGCTCACAGATCACAACCAAGTTCAAAAGAATATTTGATGAAGTCAAGGGAACACCATATGAAAGCCACGTAGATCGCGAGATGTATGTTGTAGATAACACTGTGGCTAAGGATGAAGGGATTGAGAAATTGAAGAAGAATATCGGAGGATATATGAAGGCAATGGCTAAACCTATTCCCACTACCTGGGTGGATTTCCAGTCAAAAGTACAAGACGTTGGAAAAACAAGACTTCATGTTTCCTTAGATGAGGTAATATGCTTCCTTATAATATTTATAACTCAATAATATTTGATGAATGTGATTAAAATTACACAAGTTAGATCCAGAAGTCCAACACTACCCATCACATAAATTCTATTCCTCTTGCTTCCCGATCTGTGATTTGATGAAAATTGATCACTTTAAGTGGTTCCTTTAAATAAGCCATTCAAATTTATAGTTTTAATTTTTCGATTTAAATCAAATTTAATGATTGTACATTCAAAGTTACCATCACATTGGCTTATCTTGTATCCTCTGTGTTTATATATATTTCTTGCATGCATTTGTTACTGAATGGAATTCTCTTCTCATTCAACATTTAAGGTCGCAGAAATTGCATCTGAATGTGGAATTTCTAAAACAACGCTCAAAACTGTCCTCGATTATCTAAACGACACGGGAATAATTCTGTACTCTAAGACTAATGAGAAATTAAAGTACACGGTTATTACGAACTTACGCATGATGATCGACCTCTTGACAAAAATCATCACAGTAGTGAAACCAGATGATATTGACAAGGTAAGCAATATAACAATCTCATATAAATTTTATTTTTTATGTTGCTTAATGAGGAGTCACATGCATCTTATTGTTCATATTTTCTTGTAGTTGCCTACACTGATGCATTTATGGAATAGACTCGACAGTGAGGGAATTCTACAAGAACAGTTGCTACGTCATTTGTGGAGACGTGAGATAGAAAATGATACCAGCAACTTTGAGGTATTCCTTGAACTGCTTAAGATGTTTGGGTTACTGTTTGAGAAGCAAAAGGTAAGCTGGTACTTATGGTTTAGCACAAGCAACTCTTTCATAATATATATGTGTGCACACTTTTTGTACAATAATTATTATTTTTATATTCAATTCAATTCAATTTTATTATTCTTGAAATGCCATCAAGGGACAAAATCCACTAAGGATAACATTCACAGATACACACACCAAAAAAATTACGAAATATATACAGTATAAATATAAATATATTTCCAACAATTTGTGGGCAAGGTTAAAAGGAGATTTCGCATAGACAAATGAAATTGTCTGTTGTTAAAAATGTTTTTGATGAGAATGAAAATTGAAGACGGGTCAAGAGAGAGAGAATAGGCAAAAACTCAAGGAGTGTGGAAGAAAAAGAAGAAGCGAAATGGGATGTGTGACAAGGAACGGGAAGAAATGCAGAGTGTAGGGAGTGGCGGAGAGACAAATCGTTATTTTATAGGACTTGCACATATCCATTTCAGAAAGATCCAATGAAGACGCTTTTTTTTTTTACTGGATGCAGAATAAATTATTATTATTTTTTTAAATTTTTTATTTTACATCCAACAGCGAGTACACTCGCCACTTACAGCATGAGAATGATGCTTTATAAACTAAGTCTCTTTATGAGGCTTAGGAAGTTAGTTTGGTCGTGAGGAAAAGTCCTGCTGTGACAGGAATTGAAGCCAGGACCCTGGGATCAGAAGGCAAGCATCTTAACCACTAAGCTATTCAACTCTACTCCAAAATTATTCACTACCAATTTATTTTATTTTTTTATTTCTTATTTCACATCCAACAGCGAGTAAATTTCGCTACTTACAGGATGAGAATGATGTTTTATAAGTCTCTTTAAGGCTTAGGCAGTTAGTTTGTTCGTGAGAAAAAGTCCTGCCGTGACGGGAATTGAATCTTAGCAACTGAGCTATTCAACTCCACTCCAAAATTATGCACAAAGTGTCACCTGATACTTCTCTGCCTGGAGAGTATTTTGTATAGTTATACATGTGATTCTGCACTACCAATTATATTCCAAATCACTCACCTCATACCAGGTAGGCCTACCTATTCATATTCCCAGGTGAAAAGATTCAAATGTAAATAAAGTGTCTTGCCAAGGACACAAGCAATTTGACCAGACAAACTCTCTTTCCAAAGCTTTACTGCTGCAACGATATGCCTCTGCTTCTGTTTAGTGGTTCCTTCTGTTACCTGTAATTTTCAGATCTTTTTGAGATTCATAATATGCTACATCAATGCTCATGTTTTCAAAGGGATCTCAACCTGGTAACCGAATGTTCATGGTTCCCACTCGGATGCAAATCAGTAAAGAGGGCTTGGAAGTTAAGGAAGATGAGCAGCAAACGGTGTCGATTTATGTGACTCCAATAGACTTCCTACCGGATGCTGTCTACAATCTGCTGGTGGTTTCGTTTTTAGACTTGATGAATGACAAAGGTAGGAGTAGTGATCATGTGGAATTGTTTCGGAATCGTAGTGACTTTGACTTAGATGATGAGCATGTGGTGAGTCTAGGAGCTGTCAAAATCAAGAACAGGCATGCACTGAAGGTAAGATGCAATGTTGAAGGTTAAGCATAATTATTATTTTAATGTAATAAAACTGTCTGTGTAGAATTATGTTGTAAATAATATATTAAACATATAAGTTATCTATGTTTAATATATAAACAGTTACATTTACATTTATATATAGAGTATACATTTGTATATTTAATGTTATAATACAGGTATTTGTAAGCCTACATTGCTTGGTATGTTATGCTATTTTTGTGCCAGTAAAAACATTGTCAGACCAGGCAGCTCAATGTAATTTTATTGCCAAATAAATTGTAAGTTGAAATACAGCTTAGACCTCTATGTCATCCGGAACAACTCTTAAGCTAGGCAACCAGTGCACCCGGTGGATTTCAGACACAAGCCGTGTGCACCAGATCACTTTTAATGACGATCCGTCCACCGACAATTAGCAGACGGCTTCGCATTGCAGCTCTCACAGGGAACGAAGTTGCATTTGTAGTGCAGTCCGTGCCAAGCTTTAGATAGAAATTTCTGTATTTATATTTATATATTTTATGTGCATCCACGACCTCTTTCCAAAAGCAACCCATTGACTAATAAAATATCCTGCATGTTGTCTTATAAACAGATTGAAATATCACATAGGATAAAAGTTGATGAACATGGCAAAGAAGAACCTCTCGAACCACATCCTAGCATCTGCATGGAGGTAAGCTTCCGTAACCAAATTCTGTTTATTTTTGTCATTTTTAGTTTGGCGCAGCTGGTGTGGTTCTGTGCAAAAATCAACCAAATGGGGTAGGAGAGTTGCTTATAATCCCTGATATGGTCAAATGGAACAGCTATTTGGGTCATAGCTTCAGTGTTGTAGGGCATCCAATGTCTTTATAATCAACTCTAGCCTTGTTCGCTGTGAAAAAAAACTCTGGATTAATTTTAAAATTTTCCTTTATTTTGACGATCTGAAAATGAATTGACTGATCACCATTTAGGGGTCTTGGTTGCATTCCTGAAACACCTACAAAATTGACATTGTACACCTTGCAACCATAAAAAATGTTCAGCATAATTTTATTTGATTTTTATCAGGTATTAAGTTACCTCCGTCAGCAATTGAAAACTGTGTATGTTACTACAGAAGGAGTTGGTTATGAATTACGCATCCTTTGTCATGCCTGTGATGCTACGCTGCGACCGCTGCATAAACTTGAGGAATGTTTGAAAAAAGATAGTGTGCCATGTGGAAAAAGAAAGTCAGTTGCAACGACTCGTATCAGACGACTTTTTTCAACAGGTTTGTATAAGAATATAATTTGTTTATGAAAATGGTTTATATTTTATATTGGACACAGAAAGATGTGTATAAGAGACAGGCTCGACAGCGAGGGAATTCTACAAGAGCAATTGCTACGTCATTTGTGGCGATTTGAGATAGAGAAAGATGCCTGCAACTTTGATGTTTTTGTAGAACTAATGAAGAAGTTTGGATTGCTGTTTGAGAAACAAAAGGTAAGCTGCTTCTTATCATTTAGCAGAAGTAACTCTTTCTTAATATGTATGTGCATAATTCTTGTGCATAAATTTTCAAAACTTTTTGAGATTCATAATATGCCACATCAATGCTCATGTTTTCAAAGGGATCTCAACCTGGTAACCGAATATTCATGGTTCCAACATAACCCTCCCTCTTGGATCATAAGTCTTTTTTATTTGTGCTTTCCACACACGCCAAAAACCCTTTGACTCCACCCTTGATGTATTCAATTCTATATTTTATTGCGGTGGAAAAGACATCTCGGATTATATATGTAAGTAAATATGAAAATTATTAATTTTAAAAGCCGAAAATGTTATTATTTTGCTCTACAGGTTTTGATGATAACTCTACACAAGGAACCTTGAATTTTCTGGCACTTCAGACATTGATTGTTGGGTGTGGAACCAAAGAACTACGGAGGTACTTTCTAGACAAAACTAACCTTACCAAACCGGAAGTTATACCATTTTTGACAAGGGAGAGGTGTGCATTACTAAAGGATGTTGATTTTGGAGATGATTCAACAACAGTGTTTTCATCAACCAGCAATATTGATGCATTTCACATGGAAATCATGATAAAGTTAATTCGCTGCTGTTGTCACAACACTAATACAGAAGACTTCTGGGAGAACCCTCTGGTTGATGACAATTCCGAGCTGGCAAATCTTGTTCGCATCTATCAATATAAAAGAACTGTTCTAGACTGCAGTTATAGCAACAGTGTCACAAAGGAGGTGTTTGATAAGCAATGGAAGGAACTCACAGCAATTTTTACAGGTGTTGGAGTTCCTGTTGAAGACATTGAGAATTACCGCGACCCATGGCATTACAAGGATGGAGCCTTGGAAGGTAAGTAACTAATCTTATTAATAATAGCTGCTGCTGCTGTTAATGCTGATTTTGCTGTTGATGCTGAGTCTACTGCTACTCAAGCTGATTCTGCTGCTGATATTTCTGATGAAGATGCTGCTGCTGATACTGAGTCTACTTCAGCCTATTCTGATTCTATTGCTGATGCTGATTCTGCTGCTGTTGCTGGATCTACTGCTACAGATTTTGTTGATGCTGCTGATGCTCATTAATAATAAATGATAATAATAGTTAGGTTTGTAAAGCCTAGCATGCAAACAAGCCTCTATATGCTTGTGATTGAGCCAGTTGAGGTGCCAGTATTTTCCAGATCGGGGGTCCAAAGTCCCTGACAAGAACAAAGTTGGTGTTGCTAAAAACCTTTCAAAAACGGTCCAAGGGGCGAAGCCTCCAAAAATATGACAATTATTTAGAGGTTTTTAAGGCTTATTTTATCAATTTTAGAGTCTATTAATATGTAGAAAAAAAAAAAATTTTCCCGATAATTTGTGGTTTTTCTCCCCGACACGACAAAAGACCGGACGCAGTTTATAATGTTGTACGCATGACACTATTATGATCTAGTACTACACTTAAATTCGCTAAAAACTCAACTAATGTCGCTCCTACTGATGATAGTGATTCTGAGTGTGATGCTGATTTTTTTGCTGCTAATACTGATTCTGCTAGTATTGATTTTGTTGCTGATGTAATGATATGCAATAAAATCTAAATGAAAGTTGTGTATTAAAGGCATAATTGTAAATGTGACAAATTGAAATTTAATATACT